TTTTTTTTTTTTGTCAAAAATAGCGATGGAAAAAATGAAAGCTGACGTTTAGGGATTAGTGCTTGACACTATTAACTGTGCTAAGCAAGAAATTCATATAACATTAAACTTTCTCGACAAAAAAATACTTTTTTTTTTCACTTTATTTGTGTCATACCATCAAAATAATTGATAATTTCTGGCTATGAAATGCACCAACTTCTGTTTATACTAGAATTACTAACTCAAAACTTTGCCTTTTTGGGGGGAAATTACCTACAATTCATAAGTGCAGGAACAGTAAAGAAGTGGAATAATCTATCTAAAGTTTTTTTGCTTATTCTGTGCTGAATTCTACCAATATTTTTAACTATTTCACCTTGTAGCTTCTCTCTTTCAAAAGCACTCACTGTGTATGCCCTATACTGTATTCTTTTCTTCTTTTTAAGAATAAGTCTTATCTGCATCTCATAAATATATCCCCTACATATTTCATAAAAATAGTCTTATTTTCTGCCACTTACCAATTTTGACCAATTTATCAATCGGGCCTTCCAGTACACATACCAATGGGATAGTTTGATGCGAAGCGCCAATACAAATACGCGATACAACCTAAACATTTTTCCCTTATATTGTCTAAGCCGGTCATATCAAGTCAGCAGAACATCATCAGCAGATGCTGCTGAGAATGCCATCATTAAGCAGACTGTAGCAACCAGGTTGACTCTGAAAGCCTAAATGGCAAAGCCGCTACAGATTATTGCATGAGCAAAAGGAGATAAGAGTGAGATAAGACGTTTCGGTCTATTAATTCTATTAAAACCATTTGAGCTATCATGTAATATTCTTGATGTAACACCTAAATGTAATTGGTCAGGCGAGCGGTATCATCCAAATCTGAGAGTTTTTTTTTTTCCAGTTGAGGTCAAAACGAATTATTGCAAATGTGTATGTCTCAAAGACGGTTCAAGCTGTAGAAATATCACTCAAAATCCACTGTGATGCTGAAAACTGAGATCCATTAATCTCTAAGAAGTGGTCTTCCTGCGTTCACCAAACCGATCTCATGGGCATGATAATACCCTGCATTTCGGGGTATGCACTTCAAAAAATGAAATGGATAAAAAACACGGGATCTGTAATAAATGCATGAAAAACTGTCAATATAATCTAGAAAATCCTGCTCCTCAGTTCCTAAGAGACATTTCGAGCTTCAAAAATGACTTTCCTTTGAAGTTTTACAGAATTTTTTTTGTCAAAAATATTCAACAAAATCTCTGAACAAACAAAAATTC